ACCTCACTAACCTGGACATGCTTGCTAGGCAAGCACTCTACCACTGAGCTGCATCCTGAGCTCTCAATCTGTCATCTTATTTATGTATGAATCTATGCAAACAGCTCTTGGAACATATCTCTTTGCTTCTCTCCAGAAAAGAAGCGGACAAAGGCACCTGAGCAGCCCACTCCCCCCATTCAGGAAGAGCCTGAGCCTGTCAGCAATGTCTTGCAAGGAGATGACATTCTTGCCTTGGCCATTAAGAAGGAAGACCTGAAGAAGGTAAGGCTGAACACCAGGGATCCCTTCGAATACCCAGCTACTCTTATGGTCCATCCCTCCCTTGGCTTCCTGATCCCAAGGAGTCACCAATTCCATTTAAAAAAAAAATCCATCAAATATAAAAATACAATTTTTTTTTCTGAGTCAGGGTTTCTCTGTGTAGCTTTGGTGCCTGTCCTGGATTTTGCTCTGTAGACCAGGCTGGCCTCGACCTCACAGAAATCTGCCTCCCGAGTGCTGGGATTAAAGGCATGCGCCACTGCCAACCGGCTAAATACAAATTGCTTTAGCATCTAAAGGAACTTACAGGAAGCTAAGTTTTCAAATTTTGAGATTCTAGTGGAGCCACAAAATAGTGAGATACCTTGGGGCAAGTGCCATCATGCCCATTCCGCAGATAGGCAAGTAAGTTAGAAAGCATGGTTAGAAAGGAGCATAAGGCTGCTGAACTCCAGCGATTTCCCTTACCTGTCAGTCACCCTTACTTAATCTGTCTGGACATGCCAGGTGCCATTTCTTTCCCTCCACGTTGCTCCTAAATCTCAGGTCTGTCACACAGGCATTTCCAGGACAGGATATATGGATGGAGCTGGGGGAGCCAACTAATCAGTCCTCAGGAATTCTACCAAGAAACGGTGTGTGTGTGTGTGTGTGTGTGTGTGTGTGTGTGTGTGTGTGTGTGTGTGTGTGTGTGTGTTCCTCCTCTGCTTCTGCTTCCCAGGTAGCATTTTCTTCAACTTTGTTTCTTTTTAGCAACACATTCCTCAGTTAGTAGAAACAGAAGGAAAGCCTGTAGTTACACAGAAATTTATCATCCGTAAGCTCAAACCGAAGGACTCCAGCAGGAAGGTCTACCACTTGGTAGCACATCCTGCTCATCCTGACGCTGCCACCAAGCCTCTGGACTACTCTGGTATGGGTTCTCCAGACCTTGCATTCTTGGGTGGGTCGTGAAAGCCCACTGTCCACCAGACAGCTGTTTCTGTTTCTCCTCCCCAGGTCCCGGTGACAACTTCTTAAGCGGTGACCAGATCCTGCCTCACCAGATCCTGGGGAGTCTCCAGGACTTTAAAAGGATTGCAGTTGCTCGAGGGAATGCCCAGGTTTGTTCATAAAGAGCTGTGTGGCCGAGAGGAATCACTGAGGCCGCTTTGCTCCCCCGCAGGGTGAAAGGGGTGTGTGTGGAGGTGGAGGTACATGGGTAGGACTCAAGAGATAGGTCAGTCTCTGGGCTTAGGTGATAAGTGACCCTTTGGGAAGTCACAGAAGCCAGTTGCCAGTCTGAACAACCTCATGCTGAAGTGGGAATTTACTAAAAGGAATTCAGAGCTCGCCTTGTGGAACTCTGGGTCTGGGTAGACTGAACCCCACAAGGCAGCAGAGCTCTAGGCCCAGCTCCTCATCTCCCGTCTCTGAAGACTGGATTGCTGGAGGGAGATGTCCCCCACTGTTCTCTGTGCTACCTTCCTGTCACCTAGAAAACCTCTGTCACAGATCCTCCCCTTCTATTGGGTGTGGGTACTAGGGGCCCAGCTCAGTCACTCTGAGGGAAGTCATCCATTGGGAAGAGGAGCTACCCTAAAGGATGTTGACCTTTCTGGGCAGAGGGAACTGTCACTGTTCGTGAGGTCCCCTGGGTGGTTTTCTGTTCCTTGCCACCCCATTGGTCCTGAGGTGAGCAGGATGGAAGCCAGGGCCTGGGCCCAGGTCAGTCTTCCTCCGCACTTGTGTGTTCCAGCTGGCTAAGCTGATACACATCCGGCCCTGTGTGATGACTCTCATCTCAGCTAAAGACGAGCCAAAGCCAAAGGCCCCAAAGGAAGAGAAGAGACCTCCGTGGGCCCCACCTCTTCAGCACAACTTCCTGAAGAACTGGAGACGGCACGTCACTCTGTGGAAGAAGCAACAGGAAGCCCTCAGTGGTGAGCCGAGCTGACAGGGACCTGCCAGGCCTCCACCTGGCACAGAGGCTCCTCTGTGACTTCTCCCCCACCCGTCCACAGCCTGGACGCGTACTGACTAGCATTTGTGCCGTCGCTCTGAGAGCCCCTGGTTCTCGGGCCTCAGTGGGTCCAGAAATGAGCCGGAGAGTGGGCCACCCGATCCATAGCGCCAGAGCCTGCGGGTTCTGTTTTGGGGCAGTGGTCACATTCTTCCTTCTCCCTGTCTAGGGCATCTGAAGAAGCCAGTGAGTGAGTTGCTGATGCACTCTGGGGAGAATTACCGAAAGATCCAGGAGGAGCGGGAACTGATTGACCGTGCACTTCCAACCCAGCATGACAGAAAAGTGAAGACACTATTCCCAAGCACAGAGAGAGGGAGACAGGGGGGAGAGGCGGACCGCACATGGCGAGTGGTGCCAGCTGGTCTCCAGTTACACGGGTCGGGAGAAAACAGCCTGTCCATTACCAAGCACTGTCAAGCCCTTGGGATCTTCATGTTTCGGAGCTATGCACTTTAATAATTTAGCCTGTGGTGGTCCCTGGCGGTCAGTTTATCATAAGATCCTAAATGTTTGTCTCTGAAGGGCTTTGACTAAATATATATATATATATATATATATATATATATATATATATATATATATATATATAT